AGTGTTGATTGTGAGTTTAAGTGGTTGTATGAAATGGGCTTGGGTTGTCCGAAAATTCTGTTGAAATAGGGAGGATTTCGGCAACTTGAGCATGGGTTTAGTTGATGGTTTATGTAAGAAATTGGTGGGTGTGGCTGTTGTGAGGATGTTCGAACGGAAAAAAGGAGAATTCCGTGACTTGGTCACTTTTTTGTTAAGGCCGGTTCTCCCAAATTCTTGTCCATGAGTTTGAAAAGTTGTATACGTGTAATTATATAATTGTAGATACATAGATAAATACCCAATCTCGGTGAATACTCAATTTTCGGATAGAAAAATAAAAATGAAAATAAAGAAAGAAATAAAATTTCTTTATAGATATTAATTCGAAAATATTGTGATTAGGTCCTTGATCGTCCTTTGACCTTAGCACTTGGATTAGGCCTTCTGTCCTGTGCAATTAAGGTAAGTAAATTATGGTAATGCCCTTAAATTTTAAAGCATATTTTAACTTGTTTTTGAGATGGTGGCGAGGTTTAAATGGGTTTAATTGCATTTGAGCATGATTAAATGGAAATTGAACTTTTATCATTTCATTATTTTCTAGAATTGAGCATGCCCACATGATGTTTCTTCGGTTTATTCTTGGAAGTGAGAACGATTGTGAATCGTGGTTTTTTGTAAATCTTGCTTGGTTTTGTCTCCGATATGATCGTGTTTTTCGTGTGCCTGCTAGTGGGAGGTTTATAAATACTAGCACATGTCGACATGTTAGTGATAGAACCGGTTCGTTCGTGTTATCCTACTAGTAGGATTATACACTAGTAATCGTGTGCCTGCCAGTGGGAGGTTTATAACACTGGTCATGACTAATAGAGGAGACCATTGTTGATTTTATTTTGCATTAATGGCTTTTTATTGAGACGCTCTGTTTATGTTTAAACTGTTTATTTGGCATGCTTTAAATTTTGATCCCGGGCATCCATATTTACTTACTGAGATGTTTTATCTCACGGTTTTCCTTGTCCACCATTTCAGGTAGTGAGACCCGACGCGTGGGAAGCCCGGGGGAGTGACGAGCTAGACGACTAGGCATTTTTTGGATTTAGTTTTGTAGCTAGGCCGCTAGTCACCCATGCTGACTTAGAAATTTTTGTGTACAAAACTCCCTTAGTTATAGTCATGACTGTATAAATGAAGTTATAAATCCTTGTACATTTTGGCGAGTGAATAGTTAGAAAGGAGAGGAAATTAGATATTACCTGAGTTTCTAAATCTGAATTATCTGAATTAGTAATATGAACTTAGTAAGTTTCGAGCCTTGTGCATTGTGGGACCCGTTCTCGAGTGCACGGC